GTCTCAGACGTGCTTTTCTCCTCCGTTCTCTCCTCCAGAACAGTGATGACAGCCAGGCTAAGAAATGCCTTATCCTGGATCCAGTTTGGCCAGTATAGTTCTGATTTTGCAGTGAATTCCTCACCTCTCCTACTAGAGGAGAGCCCTACAACCCTACTCTTGGATTTCACGGAATGGTTCAGCCCAGTTTTCCTTTTAAAGGCTCATATTCTCAGTGGTTTAGATTGTGTGCTGTGTCCAGCTCCCAAGGCTCTGGTAGCAGAGAGGATTCTGCTGGGCTTATCCCATCCCATCCTCTCCTGATCAGACTCCTTGAAAGGTTTGTTTTCTTGTCAGGGACCTTAGTCCCTGGTAGACACTTAATCTCATCCCCAGGTCCTTGGTGGGATGGATTTCTCCCCTATTTGTGCTGGTGACTGGCCTGTATTCGGAAGATTTAGCAGACAGAACAGCAGCACTGATACTAAAAGATATGGAAGAGTAAGGTGAAAAAAAAATCAGTAATCTGGTTTTGTCTGCTCTTGGTTTAAGCTACTGGAAGGCACCCTGGAAAAAGAGGCAAATTATATCACTGAATTTATTTGCAGGTATAAGAGTTTGCAAGGCCAGACCCTGCAGCAATACCCACTCAATACTACACCCAAGGACTGTTTTTTGTTCATTCTTTATGTATATAAATTTGATGGCCTGGATTTTTTTTCTTAGTTTTTTAAAAAAATATTTATGGGCTTCATTTTATGATGATCAGTACACATTTCCCTGTGTACTTGTGTTAATTGCTTTCTTTGAACTGAAGGCAGACTGGATGGAAAGGATGGATGCCATCCTGAGATGTTTCAGATGTTCTGAAACCCACTCTTTGGTGTGTATAAAACCTTGAACTGGGTGAAGATGCTTCTCGTTATTAAATATGAAGTGGATCCCAGAAAAGGCTGAGAAAGACTCAACAACTTTTTATGTCTGATGTCTTGCATCTGCTGTCCTGGTCTATACTAGACTTGGCCTTAAAATTATGTGCCAACGTTTGCTTTTGAATCTCTTCTAAAATAGAAATGGCAACCTCCTCTGGAGCACGTGGACATTTTGTTTTGGGGAAGAAAAGCTACAGGATCAACAGTAGGTTTAGAATAAGATGTTTGGGTTTTGTTTTGTTTACAAATGATCAGGACTTTTGATTTTGTGGTGAATAATTCTAAGTGGAGAAATGTAAGTGCTAAAAAGCAGTGTAATAATACGTCTGTGGAGTACTTTGAAGATGAAAAGCTCTATATACTGTAAACATTATTACTAGTATAGCCTAATCTGTGTGGAAAAATTAATCTAGCATGAGCTAAGTGTAGATTTTTTTTTTTAATGTACAATATAGTGTTTCAGAAAGTCTAATACAGCCGTGTATTTACATTCACATGGTAACATAAGAAATTTATCCTTTTATATTTTTAATATGTGGGTTGCAGTGGTTGATTTTGTTGTTACTTTCCAAATGTGGAGTCAGTCCTAATCCACTGCAACCTGTCAGAAACGTGAAACGTCTGGGCTGGGAGAGAAAATTGCTGTATTTTTAAAGAGGGTGTAAAAATCCTGTGCGATGAGAAATAGGTGCCTGGGAGATATGGGAATGTTTGGGGGGGTCAGCCATCCTTCTCAGGCTTGTGCTGTGGCTTGGGAGAAGACTTGAGAGAACTCCAGAGCCAGGCAGGTGCCAGACCGTGGTGGGGAGGGAACACCTGCCAGGCTGCTCCAGATCCCTCAGCACTCTGAGGCGTTTTCCCAGGCTCCCAGAGGAATGGTCCGTAACAGCCGTGGGAGAGGGCTTCCCACCGCTCCACACTGCACCACAGCAGCCTCTTGGCAGCTTCTGGAAGCTCCAGTCAGCTTGGCTGGGATTCCTTTGGAAAACAAGTGCTGCTGGATAGTCTCACAGTAAAGAGCTGGTGTCTGATGTTTCCTCTTGGTGTCGTGGGACCACGAAACACAACAAACAGGGCAAATTCCTGTTCCTGCACAAGGCAGCGCTCACAGGGGCCTGTTGCAGCTGGAACTCAACTGTGGCTTCTCTAGAACCTCCTCTGTCCAGTCATATTTTGGATTTTGGGGTCTGTTTATTTCATAGGGTTTGAGGGTTTTTGGTTGTTTTGTTGTGTTGCTGTTTTTGTTTTCCTTGTTTCTTTTTGGACCCTGAATCTGATCATTTAGGTGCACAGTTTTGAAGTAAGAAAGAAAAAAACCTTCCACATCACTAAATACAATTTTATTTCCTTTTCTGGTAATCCACAAATGGAGGTTTGTCGATGTTGCATGGTGAGGAGGAAGTTAAAGATTGAGCCAACTGGGTTTGCTGAGCCCAAGATCTGTGAACTTTCTACGCTACTGGAAGCAAAATTGTCTGTAGCTTGAGGTTCAAACTCCTTCTTAAAAGGAGTTAGTGATGGATCATTTGGTGTGTGTCACTTGGTCCCTCCTTCCATGATATCACGGACAGCAGGTTTTGGTCCTTGCTGAGATCACACTGGCCCTGGAGCATAACCCACTGCTTGCTCAAAGCCAAGATTAGGATCCATGGTGGACCAGTCAGGAATGAAACTCATGCTGAGTGACTGTGTAGAAGCTTTAAAAAGCTGCAAGTTGCATGGGGTTGTTCTTGCAGGGCTTATTTTTTTATTTTTTATTTCATGAAGCAGAGTGGTTAATCGGATAATATATTTCTCCTAAGGGAAGCTGAAAGAGGATATCACTGTTTTTATTGTTCTGCAGTAACTCTGACAACTTGAAAACTAGGTTTTGTGAACTCCAGCTGACTATGGATTAAATCAGGTGTCACATACAAGAGGGTTTCACAACATTTTATGAGCTTTGTGATACTTTCAAAATACAAGTATCTTGAATACAATGCATCTTAATATTTTCTCATGGTTAGCAACAAGTAACAGCAAATCGTCTGTTCGGGCCTTTTCAGCCAAGTAGTAAATATTCATGCAAACTAAAATGATTTTCTAGTGTTAGTCCCTCTGGGCTGAGCTTATTAGCTCAGGTGCAACTGCCTGTGAAGGCTTTATAAGACTTTCAGACTTGAGCTGATGCTGCAAAAATAATGTGTATGGGTGTCTTGATCTCTTAGGTAATTATTTATTTGTCAGATTTGAGGTGGGTGATCTTCCACAGAACAGTGGCTGACTCAATCAAGGGCCTTTAAGAAGAATTTGAAACTTTGCTCAGTCAATCAGATATGATTAAACACTTAACCTTTCAGAGAAAACCAGGATAGCAAGAAAACTGAACAGATATACCTGTTACTGATTCATAAAAGAATTGCCAGAGTGAAGTATGCTGCTTTTCCCTGTGAAAAGCAAAGATTCACATTTTTTCCAAATTCCTCTCAAGAAAAATACATTTGGAGTATTACAGACAAATGGAGGTGGGAAGAAAAACTTTCAATATTTATTCTCTGTTTGAAGATTTGTTTTCCAAGTTGTACTTTTAGGATTGTTACTTTTTCAGCATTCCAAGGCCACAGTGGAGGATGCTTTTATCACACTAATAACTTGTTTATATATAGGGCAAATTCTTTGATTTGACTTAACAGTGTTAAAGAATTGTAGATGCCAAACTGGAAATAGCTAAAAGTAATTTTCCTTAATTGTTCTCATAAATATACAGTTAATAAAGCTGATGGATTCCATCCAAATTTTTCTCTAGTGCTCATCATTTTCAAGGGATGGTTCAACTTGTCACATCTTGACTTGATCTCTTAAGGGAAGTCAAATTTTGGGTATCTTCCTGAGGGGAAGGGAAAAAAGATGGCTGATAAATTTCAAAGGGATTGATTGTGATCAATAACTGTGGTTCTTAAGGAGGGGTGATGCTGAAAACAGCACTCCATGGGGAGCTCCAGAGGATGGTGCAGACCCTGCAGCAGAGGACGTGCATTTTGGGGCTTATACTTATTATTAAGACCTGCTTGGCACTTGCTCAGTAGAGATTGAGCCTGGAACAAGCTTTCTTTCTTTTTAAATGGTTGGGTTAGAAGAACAGCAGTAGCACTTAATATTCTACTTTTTGTGTGGTAATCACACCAAGGGCAGCTGCCTGCCTTAGAAGCAGCAATAATTTAAGTCTTGTAAACCCCATCCAAGTTAAGGGAAACACCTCTAACCCTCTTTTGCACTTTCCTTTCAATGAGGTGCACAGAGAGAAGGGGAGGACGAGTCCCAGTTGCCGGTTTTTTCCCCTTTCAGCGGGAGTCAGGTTGCTAAATACCTTGATGAATCAAGTGCTAACTGATTTACCCAGGGTCATTTGGGAGTTTAAGTGGAACAAAAGTAAAAGCTGAATTTCCTCAGCCACAGTCCGATAGTCTCTCCTCTGTAACATAATCCTTTCTGCCCTTTCCTTACGCTCCTGGTGCCCAAGGATTTCTGTCATTCTTGGGAACAGAAGCTGAGGAAGCCTCTGTGGAGCTTACAGGTATCTGCTGCATCAGCCAGGCCAGCCCTGTCCACTTGGAGATACTGAGGGCTTCAAATATCTGCATTTCTCACATAATTCAGTGGAGCTGGAGATAATTAAGCCCTTCCATGTTTGGGTTTTTTTAGAGCTTTGAGTTTGTCACCTTCCTCCAGAAGGCAGTTGAGTAAATGGGCATCTGTAATACTGGTGGAGAATATGTATGAAAACAGGACAGTGGCCATGACACAGGGCTATTAAGCAGATGACAACTCTTATAATTCATTGACTTAAATTTATTTATGTGGTTGGATTCCAGAACTCGATGGTTAATAATTTCTGTAGAGTTTTGCCTTGTATCAGATATTATTTTCTTGAGACTCCAATATGAGAATTCAGCAGTTTTTTTAAAATCATTCCATTAAAGTTACGTTTTCCTTTGTGTTCTTGAGCTGCTGCTTTCTCTCAATCCTGTCTTAACAGATGTGCAACACTGTGAGACCAGAATGCCCAAGATACCCTTACACTTAATATTATCCCTTTGCTTTATGTTGCAGCCAACAGTCTCCACATCACTGCCTACTTCATGAAGAGATGGGTTAATCTCCGTTGCGCTTTAGGGAAACGTTATCGTGGTAAGAAATCGGTTTCTTACAGAGTTACTTAGAATTTTGTATTCCTGGGAGGAAGAAAGAGAGCATAAACTAATACTTCATGATATTTCGGTCTACTTAATCAAAATCCAGGGTTTTTTTCAGAGAACATCTCCTAAAAACAACAGCAACAAAAAAGGGAAGTGTTTCTTAAGATAAGCTGGATTTTTTTTTTTAATTCCATTTCAGATCTGTTGTATGCCTTGCCCCAGGGTAATCAGCTCAACCACACCAAATTCTGTGAATACGATGAGACTCAGCGTTTTACTGAGTCTCTGCAGGGTGAATCAAGCAGAGGTTGCAGCATGAATCACTTCATTATTGCTGGAGTGTCTTGTGACATCAGTGGTGCAGTACAAGTGGATGCAAGAAAGGCTCTTGTTCACCTCAGAGCTATAAAATCTCTGTGTAGGTGATGTCATTGGACCAGATTTTTTTCCATGTTTTCTCAAGCCAGGATGCTCTGTAAGGAAGTGATATCAGTCCCGTCCTGCCAACAGCAGTGCAAAGGAGCTAAAACCATCATTGCCCTTTGTGTTGACCCTTTTGTGTTAAAAGAAAGCAAAATACATTAAGTGTCCTTAAAAATATTGAATACTCAAGTGGATAATTTTAAATGATTTCTTGTTTTTATAGAAATTCATTATATTCACAAATGTTTAAATCAGTCTTCAACTAGTTGTTTTCTAAGTCCATATTGGTTGAAAAGATTGGAGTGTTGACTTTAAATAATTCATCTATTCTCGTGTTAGAATAGAATAGCAGAGTGTCTGCATTGGAATATCTACATTGTTTGCTGTGTATTAAATTTGAACTGTTTTAAAACATCAATGAATACCCAAAGATACTTTCATTTTGTTAGCCAGCAGGTGAGATTGTTATAAAATGTAACAACAAAAATGTCTAACTGGAATGAACTTGCCCTACTCTTCAATCCTACCAAAAAAATCTATGAGATCAACCTCATGGTTTTTTTCTGCAAGCCTTGTTTCTTTCTTGTCCCACAAAATAGGGTGTTATGGCTTGGGTTTGAAGTATAACAAACTTTCAAAATTTTTAACTCCCTTTGTATGAAAACAAAACAAAAACCAGCAACCAAAAAAAAAATAAAAAAAGCAGAGCTGAAAATATAAAATCTGAAGATGTTAATCTGGAAACAGTTTCACATGTCAGACAGCAAAATACCCAGCTGTGCTCTTCCCATAGCATTGCCAGGTACTGAATAAAGCTTTGCCTGTCAGTTGGAATCTGAGAGCCCTTCAATTGCTAATTCTTTGTAAATAGAAACTTTGTTGTGTTCAGAACAAACCGTGTGATCCCGAGGAAAACACCTAATTTGGTGATAGTTCCCTAATTTGTTTAATGACTTCAAAGATCTCTGCAGTCAGAGTGTGGAACGCTGGAGCTGGGATGCCAAGTCCCGACTGAATATGTTGTGCTGTGTTACAAAAACAATTTACAGCTTTTGTGATGAAAACAGGCATCACCAGAACAGAAAGAAAACCATCATTAAACTGTTTGTCTGTTGGTTCTGCCTGTTTTTTCTGTTCAGAGGTGCAGGTGGACTAATTTGCAGCCTTGACTGTCCTCTTGGGAACTCAATTTTCTCTTCTTATTGATTTTTTTTAAAATGGTTTAAAAAAACAAAATAAAAGGGGGGATGGCATGTTGAAGAGAGCAGGTGAAAAGCTAAAGGGGTGCATGAAATGAGTTAATGTGCAATTTAAAAATATAAATAATTTCGTTTACTAAAGTAACATGTCTATATGATGTCATTGTGTGTGGTTTTGAAAATGATTATAATTTCTGTAATCTTCTTTTCCATTCTTTTTGTGTAGAGCTGCGTGTGTTTCCAGAGAAATTTATAGTTTGTGTCAGTAAACTTGACTTTGATCCAAGTGCTTGGACAGGTGAAAATGATGTATTGGTACGTACAGAACGGTTCTGTAAATTTTCTGTGTTTTTTTTTTAAAGGGATAAGATGATTGTTCATATATATATGTATTTATTCACCTATTTGTGACTGTCATCTTAGAACCAGAAAGCCACATTAACAGTTGGGCCAGATTATTCAAGGGGACAACCTGCAGTGAGCCTAAGGCAGAGAAAAATTGGAATTTTTGAAAGCTTTAGCTTAGAAAGGTTTATTTTTTTTATAAGGCTCAGAGATGTATTTAGAAAGCTAAATGATTTAGGTATAATATTAGCACCTTGATTTAAGGATCTTTTTTTTTTTTTTCCTTTGTACTTTGTCCTGGTAATATTTTACTCTCCAGAATTATAATGAAGTGGTTTGTAATGTCCATGGGTTTCTTGTATGTTTTCTTAGCACTTGTTCTGCAGAACAACTCAAGCGGATCAGTGCTGGCCCTGCTGGGAGCAAAAATCCCCAAACATTTATGGAGGAAAAGGCACTGGTGTGTGGTTAAATACCATAAACAATTCTCCTTAAATATTTCATCCTGAAGGCTTTGTCAGGGTCAAAGGCTTGGGAATGTTATGCTGCAGTTAAGTGCTGGCTGTGTCAGGAGTGCTCACATGGACCCAGGTGCTGCTCCTGTGGCTCACACCGAGGGTCACAGTTACACCCTGAGCTCTGGCTGTGCTTTAGGAGTTTATCTGACATGTATTAAAGTATAGTTGACCCTTGGAGAGAAAAAAAAAAAAAAGGGTTTATTCTACTCATTCTACTTACTCTACTCATTCAACTTCATTTTTTTCTAACACCAGGCAGGGTGTTGGTATTTCTAACACTAAATGCAGATTTTATTGTCTTGATTCCTAGATTGGTACATATCCTTCCATGCCAAAGAATCAAGTGTTTTTCACACTCTCAGAAAATAATTATCTACTTGCTCTAGAAGTATTTTGCTATTTTGAAAAGTGTTACTTTTTCAGTATTGTCTTGAAAACTATTTAATGCTTGAAGTAGGAAATTCTGTCTCTGCATTTTGACTGAGAAATAATTATGGGGTTTTTTTTCTTTCTCAGGTATCTCCTATGAGATATCCAATTCCCCCATTTGGTATTTTTAATCTTTCCATAAAATAAAAGCTGAGGAGTTTTCTTTAATTTCTTTCATGTGATTTTCTATAGGAAGGAGAAGGAGAATGAAAAATATTATGTGCTTTAGCTTTACTATTTCAAAACTTGATCTTGATCTACGAAAAACTCCTTGTTGTTTAAAAAATCAGTTTTAAGACTTTTATATTAAAAAAAAAAATAAATCTCTTAGTGGGATCACAACCTAATCAATGAGACAGTCTGGGAGTTTGCTTTACTTGCAGATGCAGTATGTGTGCACAGACCTGGCTAGGACGGTCAGTGCAGTGTGTTGGGAGGAGGGAGTAAGATAAAATTATCCCTAAGCCTCTTCCCTGATTTGAAGAACCTGATTAGTAAGATGGGAACAGACCCTCAGCAAATGTTTTGGAGGATCTGGTTGATTCTTACCACTCTTCCTTGAAGGGTCCACTCCAGACTGTTCTGTAGGTCCAGAATTCCTGCAGCATGGTAGGACCAAATTTGTCATATACTCCTGTTCAGTTCTTTGCCAAACTGGAGGAGTGTTGGATTGCCACTGAGAGGCAGTTTCAAGTTTTTGGCTCTCCAGAAGTAAAGGCAAAGGATCTGCACTTTGTGTGTGTGCTCTTCCAAGTGCAGTTTGCAGTGAGTAGGCTGGAACTCCAAACTCTGCACTCCAAAAGACCACCCAGAAGACCTTTCCGCTGATCCACTCCAGCCTATTCTGTCATGGGCTAAAAATGAGGCTGTGTTTTGTTTTCTTCTCTATGCTGTTTGGGTTTGAATAATGTCACAGTGTTGGATGCAAGTTCTTTTAAATGTTTAATCAGCTCACACTCTTGCTTTTGAAGGCCAGTTCTATTCTATGAAAGCAGTTAACTGTACATTAACAGGGACTTTGTCACTTTTTTGTGTTGCCTAATGTCAGTGCAGGTGACTTACTCAAGACTTAACAATTATTTATATTTTTAGACTTTAGGCTGTTTTGTGGCATGGGTCAAGCTTTCATTCCTGAGCTGTGTTAAGTCAAGCTCAATGCTCCACTTTCCCATTACTTGAAACCAGTTTTATGTCAGCCTGAGACACTGACCATAATTGTCTTCCTTCACCTATCTTCAACCCTTTATTCTTTGCTTTTTCACTGCTTTTTAGGCTATTCTCTGAAACAGACTGTGCTTAAACCATAAGTTGCAGGGGATGTAACCAGATATGAAATGTAATTTTTATGTCTTGCGCCGTAGAAAAGATCATAATTAGATTGCTTTTGAGATATTCATGAGCACAAACCTCAGCATCAGTAGCTGAGAGAAGCAATTTGAATCCTTCTGTGATACCTCCTGTAAGACTAAGGTTAAGGTAGATTAGACAGTCTCTGTCAAATTAGCTTTGAGCATAAACTAATAAAATATGTGAGAGCACTTCTAAGCAGCAGAGCTGAAATAAAGTCGAAGAAAATCTATTGATATGTAATTTTCCAGAATCTATTTATAAATGGGCGTATCTGGGGTTATATTTAAAAATCAGACTGCAGGCAGTAATAAGCATTTTGGAAGGAGGGAAATCTCTATTAAAGAAACAATATGGCAAGTTATTGAAATTACATAAGCAAATTGGAAGTCTCAAGGAAAAGATGGAAGAATAGGCTGGCTGATTAATGCTGGGTTTAAACATAAACCCATTGTTACCTGTTTTACCAAACTGTGCTTGTAATCTTAAATAGTTTTTATCTTGAGAAAGAAGACAGTTTTGGGAACATGGCACAAGAGGAAATCCAGGGAAATATATAAGAGCTCTGGAGAGTTTAGTCATCTTTGTCAATGACGACATTTTCTCGAGGATTATTATGTAGAGAGCTAAAATGGAAAATTGGAAATGGGTTATCTGGAGAAACAGTGGAAATGGAAATGGGTGGAATGGCTTATGAGCATTTGAAAATGTGCTAACAATGGAGTATTCATTGATAACCACATTGGCTTTATAGCAGAATCTATGAGAGGAAGCACTAAAGGGAAAGCATGAAGGAGGTTAAACTAAAGATGAGATGAAATGGAAATTTGAAATTACCATTCATGTGAAATCAGAAAAGAAAGGGGGGAGTAGGAGATCCTGTCTTTATTAAAGAGATCTCAATGTTTCCACTGAGCCTTGTTAAGTTGCAGAGAATATTATACAAAAATAAAGATTCTTTTCCAACAGAATATTGCTCTTAAAAAACCCAAACTAAACCAAACAAAAAACCCCACATAGGTACACAAGGAAAAGAAAATTGCTAAAGATGTACCCAATGCCTTTTAAATGCCCAGGAGAGAAAAAAAAGAAAAATAAAAGAGAAAATGTTCTTCATACATGTCTGATTTTATAAACTGCGTCATTGTAATGTACTTCAGGAGCATTGGACAATTCTCTTTCTTAAAACTTTTAAGACCATAAATGACAGGATTTTCTGGGGTTTTGGTTATGCTGGTAAGAGGCTTCTGGTTCTTTCATGAAAACATGAACTCTTCACTGTAATTAACAGGAGACTTGTAACACTGGAGTTTATGCTGCTGGAATAGTGTGGCTATTGGAAGGTAAAATGAAAGCTCTTTTTCAGATAGCAGCAATTTGTAAAGATTAGTACAAGACTTTATGTGGAATTTAGTTATCTTAAATACTTTAAAGACTTATTGTGAAGTGATATCAGATTGGGTAGGGGAAGAAGGAAATGCTGTGCAATAGAATTGCACAATTCACACTGGAAGTACTAATCTTGGCATGGAACTGTGTGTGTGTGTGTGTGTCTAAAATATCACAGTGAAGCTGCTGTAATGGTGGGCTACTACTGAAAAGGTCAGTCCACATCCCCTCTAGTTCCAGCTCCATATTCCTTTCCTTTCTGGTTACAATGGACCAAGTGACTCTTCAGTGGAGAATGAATTAATTCATTGACTGGATCTAGCAGAAAATTATTTATTTGTGAAGTTCCTCTGGTTTTTATTGGAGGATTAGTTTTCCATCTTGTCTCTTCAGTGAACCAACTCATCCTGTACCCACACAGCTGCCAACTGTGATGCAAAAAAATGTTGGAGGAGCACACAGAGAGGATTTGGATGAGGGGAGCAGGACCATCACTTTAGGTAGCAGCTGATAGTCACCCTGGTTTGGAAAAACATCCACAACACACATTAATGTTACACTTGTTGTAATATTTGTCTTGTTGCTGGTCTTTTTATGTCATTATCCTTTTAACTTTTATAAGTGTTTCCTTGTGATTTCAGATAATATTCTGAGTTCTTTTCAGTCATTAGAGGAAACATAGAGGAAAACAGTATTAAGCTGTAGTTTGGTAACTATAAACAGGGTTTATTCCTTTTTTTGAAAAGGTAGAGAGGGGAAACTGCAGACTAATGAACTCTACCCAAATACCACAGAGTGGAACAGGCAAGGAATTGGTTTGGTGAGTTTTCACTTTTGACACTTCAAGCTTCTGTCATGTTTTTTTTACTCATCCCTCATGTTCTACTCAAGCTGCTGCAAGACTGATGATAGTGAAACATGCAGTCCTTCCTGCCTTCTCTCCTCTTCCCCAGGCATTCTTGTCCTCAGTGTCTGTCAGTACTGGTAGGTGTGGGGAAATAGGTTAATAGGTTCATTCAATAATCCCTCTGAAAACAAGGGGAGTTTTGTTTGGGTTTTTTGTTGTTGTTTGCCTGGCTCGCTTTCAGCCGGTCTCTGCAGTGTTGATCCCTTCAGTGTTGATCCTTGGCAGGACCATGTACTGGGTAAGGGTGAGACTTCCCTTTCACTGTCAGTGTAGCTTTAAACTGTCTTGAATCACCAGGCTGCTCTCTTTGAGAAACTGCATCTCAAAGTGATGATCCTGAACTCTTCCACTCATAAAGAAGCTACAGCAGCTTTACAGTA